TTATTATTATCCATGTTTCCGATAAAAAATTAACCAAATCTATGAAACTTTTTTTATGGAACAAATAATGAATAGAGAAGGTGACGAAAACTCTAATAAAAGAAACCAACACTATCCTCGTAAATTTTTAGATATTTCGAGTCATGTTCTCACTAATCAATCCGAACATTTTTTGTTTTTGTTTTATAGACTATTTCTTCTCATTAGATTTGATTAAAAAAGTCAAAATATAAAATTAAAAAAAAAGAAAAATGCAAAGAATAGGAAGAAATGGGGGAGAAATTTTTCATTCTGGGAATTTGGCTACAACACCAACAAATTAAACCACCAAATGACAATAATCACAGTGATTAATTCATAAATACTAAAGTATCTATATTATTCACGTGAGATTAATATCTTGTTTACTTGTAATTAGTTTTAAATATATTAAAGTATTGATATTGAAGAATAATTTTTAACAAAATCATCTTGACTCAAAATGTAAGTGGATTTTATATTTGATTTGATTTCAAATATATTCGTTATTACCTATATTGTAAACCAATTTCAATCAGAGATTCAGAATATGACACTCAAGTTTGCTGAGATATTTTATGGAGAAGAATGGTGACGTTATCCGCCAGGTTTAAGATAGAATAATTATAGTTTGAAGCCGAGAAAAGCCTCTTTCCGTTTGTGATTGGACGGAGTTTGCACGGGACAATAATTTGGGAGTAGGTGATGTATGTGTGTTTGAGCTGATTACATTAAGGCATCTGAACTTAGATAGAGCCTTGTGAGGATGCGAGTTGCAGCCCCTCTTTTCAAGTGATTAATTGCAGGATCCATTGACAGAACCTATTTGGTGCTATGCTTTAATTTATTATGCATTATAATAATGAATTGATTCCTTTTTCATTGAAAAAAAATCATGATTGTCGTCTAGGGATAAAATAGTCTTTCCATTAATTATTTTAAATTTATTTAAAAGTATTTCAGTTTTGTTTATAATTTTTAGCCCAATGTAAATACTTGATTAACTTTAGAAGAAGAAAAAAACAAAAAAACCTTTGATCTACGAGCTTTATTGAAATTTCTCTTTCTTTCTCTCTTTCAAAAAATTCAATTTTTTTTATTAAAATTTAATATATTTTGGATTGTTTTTATGTAATAATATCAAAAATAATTTTTTAAAAATAAAAAAAATATTATTAACATGTATTTTAGTATAAAAAATTATTTAAAAAATAACAACAATTACTCTTAAAACACACACAAAGAATAATTTGATAATTTAACTAAAAAAAATAATAACAAAAGAAAAAGGTTACAAGCACATTCGACATTCGACGTGGTTGCTTACGAAGGTGAAGAACAACCTTTTTAATGTTTTCATAACTGTGAAAAAACAACATTTTTTTCCTTTTTTAACCATGTATGTTTTTAGAATTTATTTTTTAATATTTAATTTATTTAAAAATTGAACCTTTTTTTTATATTTTCTATATTATTTTCACTAATTTTTAAAAATTACAAGGATTATCTCAAGTCTTTTTATTTATTATTTATTATTTATTATTATTTTTAATTATATTATTAAATTGAAGACTAGTTGATCAAGCCAGGTCAATTACAGGAGTTTTAAATTTTTTCATTATTTAAAAACACTTGTTTGAGTCTCCTCATAGCAAGAATAACCATTCAAAATTTACTTGAGTTTTTATTTTATTTTAAGCATTATGTATTTGGTTAGTTTGAATTTCTAATTTGATTTAATTTAAATTTTATGATGTTATTATATATTTATATTCCAAATTAAGAGTTTTATGAATTAAACATATTTCTTCCTAGTCATTTTAATATGTTAATATTTTTATTTAAAAAAATTATTTAATATATTATTATTTTAAAATTATAATTTTTTTATTCATTATAAAAATTATAATTTAATATAATATGTAAATAATAAATTTTAAAAATTATTTTAATATATTTTTAAATAAAAAATAATCATTAATACAAGATCTATGCTAAAAAACATCAAAGCCTACAATGGACTAACAACAACTGAGATATAGGCCCAGATTAAACTACGCCTACTTGGAGCCACTAGACCCTACCCAGAAAAATTATCAGCCCAACATGACCCAAAATCAATTAAAATCCGACGGCTAGGATTAGCTTTCCGATACATAAATAAAAACTAGGGCATGCCGCCTCATAATAATAAGCCCGTCGAGGAGAAGAGAGGGAGCCGTCTTCAGACATCTCGTGCCACAACAATGGGTGAGCAAGCATTCATCTCCTTCCAAAAACACTCTTAGATTCTGCTTTGCATCGATCCCTTTTCATGTTTCAGTCTTTAATGCCCTGTGCTGTTTATGGGATGATCTTATTTGTTTATTTTGGCTAGAAAATGAGCTTGATTTTTTTTAGCATGCAATTTGATGAACTTGATCTTTTTGACTGTATCATCGAACTACATGATTGATGGGGTTTAGTTAACTTGTTAAACCATGTCGAAAACATAATGTTTTAGACTATGTTAGTCATTCAATCACTGATTTTTTCGTGCGCTTGATATATGAAATGGAGGCTACTCGATGGAAAATAGAAACGCGGGTTTTGGTTATAATTTGTGATTTTTGAATTCTAGGGCGTGGGGTTTAATGATGAGTGTGATGATGTATAGGGGCTTACAAGTATGTTTCGGAGCTATGGAGGAAGAAGCAATCGGATGTTATGAGGTTCTTGCAGAGGGTGAGGTGCTGGGAATACCGTCAACATCCTTCGATTGTGCGTGTCACTCATCCTACTCGTCCTGACAAGGCTCGCCGTTTGGGATACAAGGCAAAACAGGTAAAAAACTTGTTTTTAGTTAATGCAATATATGTAGCTGGCTTTCTTGTCACTGGACTAAATAATGCATTGTATTGTACACCTCTACTTGATGATGACATGGATACTGATTTTCAGGGGTATGTTGTCTATCGAATCCGTGTGAGGCGTGGTGGTAGGAAAAGGCCTGTTCCGAAGGGTATTGTTTATGGCAAGCCAACAAACCAGGGTGTTACCCAGCTCAAGTTCCAGCGTAGCAAGAGGTCAGTTGCTGAAGAGCGTGCGGGGCGGAAATTAGGTGGGCTCAAAGTTCTCAACTCATACTGGATTAATGAGGTTCGTTATACAAGTTTGTTTTTGCTCTTTCTTTCAACTTTCCATCGTTTATTGGAGGAAATAGGGTTGCAATATGATATGTAGTGGTCTGACGAGGATCCTATTTCTATGTAAGCATGTTTGATGGTCAATTGAACTAAGAATGTTCCAAGTGATATTTACCTGGCAAGTGAGATAAGAGGGTCATACCATGATAAACCTGTTGATCATGTAACCATTTTAATATCTATAGCTATTTTCACCTTCACCTTTCTGGATTACACGTATAGATATTTAGAAACTGGTGTTGTCCTTATTTCTATGCAAGCATGTATGGCTGTAATTTGAAACTTGTGTTGGCCCCATCTGGATGCAAGCACATGACTGTCGCGTGAAGCTGACAGTGTTTGAAATAGCTTTCACTTGGCAAGTAAGAGAGGGTCATGCCATGATTAACCTTGGTAGTCTATCACTAATACTTGCTCCCCCCCTTTCATCCTTCTTAGGCTTTATTCATGTTTGCTCGTAGTACGTAGTTGATTTAACCTTCAATTTTCAGGATTCCACGTACAAATATTTTGAGGTTATCCTGGTCGATGCTGCTCACAATGCCATTCGCAATGATCCAAGGATCAATTGGATCTGCAAGCCTGTCCATAAACACAGAGAGCTACGTGGTTTAACATCTGCTGGAAAGAAGTACAGGGGTCTCCGAGGAAGGGGACACTTGCATCATAAGGCACGGCCTTCCAGGAGGGCAACATGGAAAAGGAACCAAACTCTTTCCCTCCGTCGTTATCGGTGATTGTAGTATTTGGGGCTTTTGTTTATCCGCGGACTTGGTCCTTTTTTTCCAAAATTTGCGATTAAGAGATTATGATAGTTTATTACTGTTTGTTTAGTGCGCAAGGATTTGCTGAGCCTTATTTTGGTACACAAGTTTATTCACTTGCAAGACTGGATATCTTTGACTTTGTTACAGTTGCTTTTTGTTGGATGATTGGATCAACCTCCTTGACTTGTCCTGTTTATCTTGTTAAATTGTCACACTAATTATCTGTGGTTTTCCTCTATTTATTTATTTATTTTGTGAGTTCAGGATTAAATTTCGAATCAAACACTATGCATGATGAAGAAAAGCAATTACGGGTTTTTTTGGTTCCTAGTGATTCCTTTTTCTTTTTTTTTAATTGGTGGGGATAGGATGTGGGGTTTATTATCCTCAAAATTTCAATAATTTACTTCTTTACTTAACCGATGCATAACCAAGTAAGTGGTTGTTATGTGCTAGGCAAGTTTGCTAAATTTAAAGTCATGCTATAATTTTTGAGTGGTATGTTTAGCAATTTACTGGGCACTAAATGGATAATTCATTTGTTTCAACTAAGGACTGTAGTATCAGTTTTTAAACGGGGATCATAGACTGCACTGTATTTTTTTTTTTGATATATTAACATTAACAAAACGAGCTTGCTATCTTTTTATTTTTTCTTTATTTTTTTTTGCCACATTCTTCTATAATCTACTTAAATTAGTTGGGCTTGAAATTATAGTAAAATAGAAGTTTTACTTTTAAAAGGACTTATTCTGGGCTGGCCTGCGTCATCTGGTATTTTTAAGCCTATTTATTATTTTTATTTTTTTCTTGAGTATTTATTGATTTTTTTTTTCATTTTTTCTTTTAATATTTTATTAGATAAATTGTTTTTAATATTTTATTATATAATAAAATAATAAAATTAATGGAATACAGTAGAGGATATGGTTCAGGTGAACTTAGTTAATTGGGTTAACTTAGTTAATTGAACTTAGAGAGAGAGAATAAAATTGGAAAATAACTTGGTTTTGGTGAGCCTATAAAAAGAAAAAGGGGCAGTCATGCCATGCAATAAAAAAAGAAAAAGGAAGAGGAAAAAAACCATGACCATTATTAAAGCCTAAGAACAGCAGGACTTGGTCCGTGTCAATCCTCGCGATCCGAAAACAATTGGAGGTTTGAGCCTTCTTTTCTGCTCTTTCATGGTTTCATTCCAAGAACACCGAGAAAAGCCATTGAAGATACTGCTTCCTTCTTCATTCCATCATCATCAAATCCTTCCATTTTTAAGGTCCATCTCTCCTCCTCTCTCTTTTATATACAAATAATGGTATGAATATTATTCATATAAATGATGCGGGTGTTATTTTATTGGATGATCAGATGGATCAAGATGATCATCATGCAAAACATTCTCGTCGGTACGTTCCATTAACAAGAGTGCAAGAAGCACCCGTGGAAGATATTGAACCTGGAGAACTCAACCAGCCCATTAATGTCTCTCAGGTCCTGTGCATTTTCTCTCTCGTACATATTGCCATATATAACAATGTTAGATTCATCCTGAAATATCGTTTCTCATCTTTCTTGAATGATATCAACAACTTCTTGGTGACAATGGATCCTATGAGTCCACCCCATCTTGATAATATTTGAATAGCTCAATTTGAATGGATGTTTTGGAATGACTAGTATTAATCTACATATAATGTTCTGGTGATTGAAAGAGGAGGCAGGTAGGCTGCCCTAAATTCCTAGCAAGACCTATCTGTCACATAATTTTCAAAGAAATTAATTTTATTATTAGAATTTTCTGAGAATTTAATACATGTTTTTTGGAAGAACTTGAAGTGATTGCATGCATTTTTGTGATGTAGAAGCTGGAGTATGTACTTTTATTATTGATTTATCTTTCAGGTTTTTTGGTGTACAGAGGAAGTGCATTGAATGTGGACAATATCTACCAGAAAGGCATGAGCCTCCTGCTGATGAAGATTGGACGACTGGGATTCTTGGCTGCCTTGAAGATACTGATAGTTGTGAGAATGCTTTCATTTTGGCTCCCATTGTAATATTTTTTTTTTTGTTTTTTCTCATAATATATTATGAAGTAAGGAATCCTTTTATGTGTTGTAGGTTTCACGGGATTATTTTGTCCATGCGTGTTGTTTGGAAGGAATGTTGAACTGAGAGAAGATATTCCTTGGCCCAGTGCATGTGTTGGTCATGCAGTGTGTGTAGAAGGTGGAATTGCACTTGCAGCAGCCACTGCTTTCTGCAATGGTATTGATCCTAACACTTCAGTTCTCATTTGTGAGGGCCTCTTATTTGCATGGTGGGTTTGTGGCATTTACACTGGCCTCTTTCGAGAATCACTGCAGAAGAAATATCATCTCAAGGTGATTGATATATTGTAAACTATGATTTTCCGTTTCATAATTCATGCCTTGCATATTTCGTTGTTTGGCTAAATTATAAAAAATTATCCTGAATTTTGGATCAAATTGAACTTAGCCCTTCAGCTTTATTTTATTTTTTTATTTGAGCACCTCAAACTATTTTTGATCCAAAGTTCAAGGCAATTTTTGTTCATTTAGCCATATTGTTTTGCAGTTTCTGTTTTTCTGCTTAGAAAGATTGATTAACACCTGAAATTTAATGTTCTCTAAAGCCGATTCTGTGAAACTGTTGCAGAATACTCCTTGTGATCCGTGCATGGTGCATTGTTGCCTGCATTGGTGTGCCTTGTGTCAGGAGCACAGGGAGATGAGGAACCATCTGTCTGAACCTGCTGATATGCAGATGACTGTTGTTAACCCTCCTCCCGTTCAGGAGATGAAATCTGGCGAGAGCCAGGACCCTGCTTCATCTGCACCTGATGCTCCGTCTGTACAATCTTCTGGAAATGGTGAACATACTGGTCTAGAGATACAACCAGTGTAGGATTATGGTACATCATACACAGATTGGACAAAGAGCTGAATTCTTTTTATATTGTTAATCATTACGTTATCTTACATTAATCCTTTGTCGGGGTCTTCAAGTAGAGCAATTCAAGCTGGAAATTTGTATGATGGTGATTGGACTTGGCCCTTACTCTAGCAGCAAAATTTGCTATGAATGTCAATGATTGAACTACACTTCATAGCTCAAGCCATTTGGTTACTTTGCTAATTTAATCTTCGTGACTTCACTCGTATGACGCTTTGTAATATATATGATGATTGAGCAGAATTCTACAGTGAATTTCGATTGTATTGTTGAGCTCTTCCTTTGTAGTACAAACCTAAACCTAGTGCCCTCCATCTCCTCTCAGATTCGATTGGAAAGGAACTTCAATTTGAATGCAAGAGATCTGTGACAGTAGATGATGAAAGCTCCAACCACATGCCGTGCCTGAACGAACTGAATTGGCAAAACTGACATCAATAAGCTTTAACACCATTTACAACTCTAATAACGTTATAGAATGATGGTCTAATAAAGGGTATTTAAAACTTCTTCTGGAGGCCATTCTCAGTCCCATATTACCTGTGTATCATATGTTCTTACAGCAATAATCTCAGGCAGCAAAAGGCCTATCATCTGCCTTTCCGTATCTTTTCCTCAGCTTTCAAAAACATTAAGTTAAAAAAGAAGCCCCTTTGGATGGTAACTAAGTAAATGCTTCTCGCTGTTTTGTTAGAAGGTCTATATCAGGTTCGGATACAGTAACAGGAGAGACAGCTATCCACCATGCCTCCAGACACTTGTTCCAAGCTTGGAGGACCACACTGCGTATTTCAAAACGCATGGTAATACGACTACTTTATGCTAACACACCTTTTATCTAGTACTTCTATTATCTTAAGAGCTACATTCTGCACTATTATATCTGGAAATTTATTTCAAATTGTCAAATTCTATCTTGGTGTATATTATAAACAGTAATCTTTCCATCAATACTATCGGTGCCAAGTCCTTGTCCACCCTTCGTGCCAGAACCCCCTGACAAGGGTATAAAAACATGAAACAAAATAAGTGATTGTGGATACGTTATTCAGTGGAAAGATAAACTGAGTTTTATACAAAAATCATCAGAGATTTGCTTGGATATTCCTTGTAGGTTCATTCGATATTCACGGACCAAACACTGAACAAGTGTCCGTAAACTACCTTCTTGTATCTGGACCAGCTAATGTTAGTAGTTTAGGTCACAATGGAATGATTTTGGAAGAGAAAGCCAGGCAGATTACAAAAGCTCAAAATTCTCACAGATCACAAGGCAACCTTCAAGCTCAATGGTGGTGCTTCTTTTAAGTCTTCTTAGAGTGGGAATTGCACGATGGACCATTTGTTCCAGCTGCTTCCCTTTCCTGAGGCAAATGGCAGTCTCAAATCATGATGACAAATTTTGCTGGAAAAAAGATAATTAGAGTTAAATAGCCTCCTTTTTTTTTTTTTTTTTTTTTTTTTTTTTTTTCATTCTTCCCCTGGGATGGGTTTTTTGGAGGGATCCCAGGGGGGATGACGGCCTTTCCAGGACTCAGCAAACTGCATTTCAATGGGCAGTACTTGAGCTTGCTAATGGCTTTTCCAGGATAACAGATGACAGGACCATCACTTTGTTGAGTCCTTCACAAGGAAAAATAAGGGATTGATGCTGGCAAATCCTCAAGATTTCACAACCCCAAAATTTTTTAAATCAGTTTATACCCATGCATAAAGAAGCAGACATTTTCTCAATGATCAAAAGGACTTGTGAGTTAGGATCCAGCCATCAATTTGGAAAATCTCCAAGATACAACACAGCAAACTTGAGATATTCCCTCCTGAACAAGAACTCCTATTGAGTCAAGTCCCTGTATAAGGTTGGCAAAAGAATCCTATGCACCCAACCTTTGCACTTCAGATTTCTCTGCTTATTTCCAGCGTCTGCAAATTCTTTCCCTTTATGTACCCAACCTTTGCACTCATCTTATCTGTATAGACAAGGTCACCATGGTGTTCTAAAGAAGTTTCAATGACAGAAGGATCATCAGTGACCAGGTCCCCAACAAGATGTTAAACTGAACAAAGTTTCTACATGATCAAAAGAAACAATATAGGATAATGGAATACAACCAGGACAGTCGAAGCTAGGGATCGCCTATGTTAACTTCACCATGCAAGTAGTGTGTAGCCAGGCCACAAGCAAATATTTATGCTTCATTGAGTGTTTCTCCTGCAAACAAGAATACATCTAATGTTATACTCAATGCTAAGGTATATTTAATCTCTTATCAATTACCAACCCCATCAACATAATTCACTGATTCACTGCACTTCGATTACTTTGTCGACACTGTATGATGTGCAAATAGCATCGTCTTCTGACACAGTTTAAAACTTCTGGCTAGCTGCCTGATATGCTTTATTGGAGTGGAAGATTTGTCCAATGAACAGTTTAATCCAAATAACTGTGGCAAAAGCCACACCATAAAGATATAAATACTGTGTGTCTATGGGAACCCTGGAGCTAAGATTTAGAGAAAACTGAAGAAATGCACTTCTGAACTAACTTCAAGGACAATGTCCAACTTGCTGGCTGATGTGAGTCAAGTAACCAGGCCCTCCTTAAAAGGACACTGCCCAACTGAATCAAGGGAAATTAATGGGGCAAAGGAAGCTTTTTTACTTATATGAGAAGTTAGAAAAAGACAAGTATATCTCAAAGAAACCAGCACTTTTCAGCTTCATTTCATTCTTTTACAGAAAATATTAATGTTCTCATACTTAAATTGCTGGGAAACAAAATCTTAACAGAAAATGAAGAGTGACTATGGACTAAGGTATTTTCATATATATATATATTGTATTTTTTCAAAAAGGGTACGTACAGGTCTATTTTCCAAATTCATTAGAGTTAATTTTGGGTGTTCTTTCTTGTTGTGATTTCCCCTTTTTATTTTTGTAGATAGTTTTATGGTCTTGATTTCAAAATTCCCAAACCTATATAAAAAAACTGTAAAGTCTTTAAATTGAAACAAACAAATTGTTTATTTCTAGATTAAAAGTTACTCAATTAGGTAAATTGTTAAGCCTGTCATACAAAATTTACAATAGTTTTCTAACATAATTTAAACCAATAATATTAACATGCATGCGATATCATATTTATCTTTCACATGATAATTATATAATCTCAAATTTATTATTTTAGAATCATAGATTAAACATGCTTTTTACACACATAGAATCCCTTATTATGAACATTAATTATACATAAAAACTCAATAATAATAATGATAATAATTTCCTAGACGTCGTTCGACTAAGAAAATTAGTCCAAACAGCTTGGAATTATGCGAAATTGAAATGCAAAAAAAGTTCACATGTTTTTTAAAAGAACAGAGGACTGGAGAAGAAGTAAGAAGATCCAATGGCTAGGTTAGTAATCAGATCCAGTAACATGAGAATAAAAAAGAAATCCAACGGTAGCAGAAAGAAAAAAAGTTGGCAAAAAAAACCAAAGTAGAAGAGGGTAAAAAGAAAAAGAGAGAAAAAAAGAAGAATTGGATAGCTAATCTAAAATCACAAGCGTGAAAAGTTCAATCTAATATTTTCGGTGCTAGGCATTGTAATTTATCTATATTTTTTAAAAATTAAGTTTTTTAAAAATTAAGTTTTTATATATTTTTAAATTGTTTTCATACAATGATGTTAAAAATAAATTTTAAAAAATAAAAATATTATTTTAATATATTTTCTAATAAAATCAGCTTTGAAAAACAATTTCCAGTGCATTTTCAAATATACACCGAATATATATTTAGTATTATATAATTAATTATTGAGGTTAAATTTTTTTAAAAAAATTATAAATTATAAATTTTTTAACAAAATTTTGAAAGATAATTTTCAATAAAACTCATTCAAAATTATAACAAGTATTGGTTATCTGAACATTTTTAAAATTATAATTAAAACAAAATATAGTTTTAACCATACCACACCACTCTCGAACACTTTCCAAAGACAAAATAAAGAAAAAATGAAGCCATGTCAATCAAGAAGAGATACCATATGAACGAAGGAGCAATTAACCAGTCAGTCAGTACCTTTGTTTCATGGTGACATGTTATTTTCAACTGCAAATCTCTAAAAGGTAGCGCCATATCATCATCACGGTTATTTCGTCTCCATGGATCCAGCTTCTCATCTCAATCTTCTTTTTTCATATAACCAAACCATCTCCCTTTCTTCATCACCATTTTTTTTTCCTGAAATTTTATACCTCCTATCTTTTCTATTTTTACCAGAATGGCCAGAAGCTCACTAAAGGTTTTGGTTACTGGTGCTGCTGGTAACTTTTTTTTTTTTTACTCTTGTCATAGCATATTCTTTCTGATAGCCTTTACTTCTAAGAAAACGTGGAGAAAGTTTTGAGTTTCTTTAACATGTATTTCAAAACAAATGGAGAAAGGGAACCCAGAAAACCACATGGAAACATTGCTTGGTGGATGTTTTCTTCAGACTGTGGAGATCTTTATACTTATTGCATTTTTAATTGATAGGCCTTGTCTTGTACTTTTTTGCCTTGTTATGGAGGTGTTTGTGTAGATTCTTTCTTTCATTCATCATGCTATATATTTAAGCATATCTTGGCAGGTAGGATTGCTCTATCTTCATTTCAACAGGAAACCTGTTGTTCTAGAGAGATGGATCATGCTGTATTGCTTCAGAAAATTCTTGTTGTTTCATTTATTGTTGCTCTTTTTTGGAAGATAATTAGATATATGTGCAACCTCCTTAATGTAGAAAAAGAACCTGTGAGGGTTCTTGTAACTGGTGCTGCAGGCAAGGCTCAAATATTAAATATTTCATTTGGATTTTATTTTCTTCAATTTATTATCTTTCTTTTGTCATTAGTTAAAATTTTGTAGCAATCTGACTTTACAATTGATTCTCTGGACATTCAGCCTTTTTTTAGGCCAAGATGGCCATAAAATCCACGTATCATCTTTGGAACATTCTGCATAGTTAGATCATACAAGTAATTCTTGTTTAAATTTCCTGTGTGAATCTTTCTGTGGTAGAAATCAATCGCTATTCCCCCGCCATTAATTTTAAGTCTAACCATTCCAAGTCTCACTCTAGTTTCATCTAACAGGGCAAATAGGCTATGCTATTGT